CATCCAAATACATCATGAGGAGTCGTGTAAGAAATCTTTATGAGTAAGGGTAAGTTGTTATAGACTAGTGCTTAGGATAATTGAGACTAGGAAAATTCTCTATAAAGAGAAAATTGTGATGATATCATAAGGAACATGACAACGTGAAGGATATGTGATGATATGACGGCCTGCATTGGAAGTTACAACTTAACAAAGCCAAGGGATCAAAGGTAGAGTTCCATTAGTGGTAATTCATTGGGGGTAATGTGTCGGGTGACAAGTGATAGAGAAAACTAAGGGTTAAGGTAGCACTTTGTAATTGATACTCCACCTAACCAACTTGGCAACCTCGATGGTTCCTCCAACATTCTATGATAAATGTGAGAATAATTGCCAAGTTTGGGTAGAGAAGTATCCCATCGATATACTAAGATTCATTGGAGGGATGAAATCATATAATTTATGAGTCGGGACATATGTACTGCTAGTCATTTCCAAAACGAGAAAGTATGGATCCATACCAAGTCAACATCAAGTTAGTACAACTAGAATAAATTCTAGTTTCCCTTGAAAAAATCTAGTGTTATGGTTTAGTTTGGTAACATTATTGCCTTTGTTTCCCTATATTTTTCTCTTAGACCCTTGATCATTGACTCTAGCACCTCTGACTATATGACTGGTAACCAAACATTTTTTTTTCCAACTTCTATCCTTTATTACTCTTGCAAATGTTCTCTAATCCCTGCTCATGGCCTTGGACAAATAAATCCACTTCCTAACCTTTCCCTAAATCCTATCTTACTTGTCCCTAGTTATCCTTTTAATTTAATTTCGATTAGAAAATTCACCTACACCTTTAACAATTCTACTTCATTTATTAATATCTTTGTTGTTATTCAAGACCAGCATAACAGATGAATGATGGGAGCAAGACATTAGTTTGGAGGATTGTACTAGCTCTCACTGTTGGTTGCCAATGTCTCACATTCCTCCCAACTCTTACATATTAGCGTGTCTTTTAATTCCTAGTCTTCCTACTATTAAATCTCTTTAGTGTGAGTCTTGTTAATTAGGCAAACATATTTGTCATATAGACAATCTTTATGTCAATAAATGTATCACATCATTGTTTACCCTAGTACACTCTCGTACTTGGGGTCCAAGTCAAGTTTATTCCACCTTAGGGTTTTGCTATTTAGTCACCTTTATTGATGATTTTTTCAGTGTGCTTTGGTGTTTCCAATGAAAAATCATTTTCATTTTTTCTTTATCTTTCAAGGTTTCTTAAATGAAATTCGTAATCAACTTGACACTTTCATTAAAACTTTACAAAATGATAATGCCCGCGAATATATGTCCTTTAGTTTCCAGTCATTTCTCAACTCGCAGGGAATTCTTCATGAAACATCATTCACCCACACACCACAACAAAATGGTGTTTCTGAAAGAAAAAATAGTCACTTAGTCAAAATAGCTCATACCCTCTTCTTTCCC